TAGTTTGATCATTTTGAACATTTTGAAATTTAAAAATTGCAGCTATTATATTGCCAGCAGTGTTTTTTTCACAAGCGGTAATGGATCCGCTTCCGTTATAATTTGAAAACGGAGACCGTTGTAAAGCGCAAATAAATAATACGCAACTCGTAAGCCTTTTTAATTATCAATTTTACATGTGAAAGGTAGTAATTAAACAGAAAATGTAATAATTAAAAACAATTGAAAATGATGCAGTGGTTATTTACCAATAGTTGTGAGTTAGCCATAAAATGACAGTTTTTTTCCTATCAAAATGTTAACGTAACCTTCTAAATTTTGACAAGAATAGTCACCCCGTAATGCAGTAATGTCATCAGTCATGGATTTTGACCTAAGTAAGGAAAATATTCAGCCCCTTCGAGGTGGAAGAAACGTAACTCAACTAGAAGTAGCATTGCAAGCACAATTTAACGAAGATTACCAAAGAGAAATTCTCCAACAAAAAGAGTAATTATAACTTATTCCTCGATGAGGTTATTCATGTAGAAAATTTTTCTGCAAGCTGTGCTTATTTATTAATTTAAAAGTTGATAATGTGTATTTGTATTAATTCTTGGAGATTCATGAATACAGGCAAGTGTTTTTATAGGGCTTTCGAAAATGCAATTAGACATTATGAAGGGGAAGATCCCTTGGATAATTGGTATCACTATATTTCATGGGTAGAGCAAAGTTTTCCAAAACATGGTCACGAAGGAAATTTGGTTGCTTTATTAGAAGACTGCTTGAGCAAATTTGAACATGATAAGCGATACATTCATGATCGTCGTTTTTGCAAATTATGGATAAAATATGTAAGTTTATAAAATCTTTTTCTATAACAGTATAATTAATTCTTACCTTGAATATTTTACTGACAAAGGGCTTTTCTTTTATGCAAAAGTGCTTTGACATTTACGCCATTAAAGTAAAAATGTTATGTCATTTAAAACCAGTTATTAAAAATATTATTTGACTCGAGCAATTACAAATTATTATAAAACTGAAAATATGAGATTAATATAATCCAGTGTTTATTAATGAAGATTTGGACAGTTGTTGTTTATTTTTTACTATGTATTTGTATTTTACAATTATGAAGCTCGATTCTATTGTAGATGAAGTCTACATATATGCAATTAAACAATTACCCTTGCATTATTAATTGAACCTACATTAGTAATTTCAGGAGTTGATCATTTACTTATATTTACAGTATTGTATAGCTTTATTAAATCTATGAACTGAACACTTTAAACGAAAGTTAAAAAAAAAATATTGTAATAAAATACACTTATTTGTAATTTCAAATAATTATCAATTTATTTATTCTTCATATCAATCTACCGAAAGACAAACATATACAAAATTTATATCTATCCTGTAGATCCACCAGAGGTACCAATACCTGTATGTGTTGTAGACAAACTAAAAAATTGTACCTGAAATGTTAATTTTTTTTTAGATTGATATGCAGCCAAATCCGTTAGAGCTATTCCACATGATGCATGCTCAAGGTTTATGTAGAAGCTGCGCCGATTTATACAGGGCCTGGGCATACTACCACGAAGTTGCTGGGGACTTCAAAAGTGCTGACATGGTTTTCCAACTTGGTGAACAAGAACTTGCCCAACCATATGAAGAATTAGTTACAGCCCATCGTAATTTAGTCTATGCAGTTGGACAGCAAGTAAGAAAAATCAAATTTAAACATTTTTCTGGTAATAATTAAACGTTTAAAATAGATGATAAGGGGAGCAGAAGTAGATGCTCAAAGGTTAGAAGAACAGAGAAGAGCTCTAACCACATTAAGTACTTATGGACATGGTAAAATGGTCCCTAGTGTGCGCATACCTATTTCTGCTGGTGCTGGTGTGTTACCTAGTGGTGCAAAAGCTAATCTAAAGGAAAACGTAGTGGTACCTGTGTATCAAGATAGGGACAATAGTAAATTACTTGGGGCCGAAGCTGTACCCCCTGTAAGCATTTTATCAGCTGCAAAACGTCAGCAGGCTCCTAAAGAGAACACAATAAAACCTGGAGTTTGGACTACAGCTTTACCTATTAAAAAAGGTCCAATGGCTCATCGAAACCCAGCATTTACAGGTAAATAAGTGCAGTAAAACATGTATTGATAAATTTTTGTTGCTACTGTTATTGTTTAGTTCATGAAGACATTATTGATCTCCATTCAATTGGTATAAAGCTGCCAGATGAATTTTATCCAGTAAGTCACGAAGACTTTTCTAACTGGAATCCTCCATTGGCCTATTTTGAGCCTGAAGATCCAAGCAGAATTCCAATGTATCCCAAAAGTAAAGTATACGCAAATCCAAAAGGTGAAGTTAGCATTGAAGAAGTTCGAGCCACTAAATACAAAGTGAAAGGCAACTGTAATAGACTAAACATTTCTCACTCTGAAACAAATGAAGCCATTCAATCGATCTTGGGAGATGGTGTTATCAATCAGAAAGTTCCATTTCAAGAACATCAACAGCAGCAACAGCATATTGGATATGGACAGGTAGTTTTTGATTTGTTTTCTTTAATTCTACAAAATGATGCAAATTTTAATTTTCGTTCTATGATAGTATGTATGAAAATGAAAGTCGAAAAGTTATTCCTTCTCTTTTTTATAATGAGAATGAGATGTTAATGTTTTTTTTTTAAAACCAGGTACAAAACGTATACATTATAGAAGGTACTTAAACCTGTACGCAATTCCAATATTAGGAAACAAACAACTAAGTAAATTACGAAAGAGAAAACTAAAANAATAAGAAGAAAAAAATACGCATTTGTTATTAGTTTGATCATTTTGAACATTTTGAAATTTAAAAATTGCAGCTATTATATTGCCAGCAGTGTTTTTTTCACAAGCGGTAATGGATCCGCTTCCGTTATAATTTGAAAACGGAGACCGTTGTAAAGCGCAAATAAATAATACGCAACTCGTAAGCCTTTTTAATTATCAATTTTACATGTGAAAGGTAGTAATTAAACAGAAAATGTAATAATTAAAAACAATTGAAAATGATGCAGTGGTTATTTACCAATAGTTGTGAGTTAGCCATAAAATGACAGTTTTTTTCCTATCAAAATGTTAACGTAACCTTCTAAATTTTGACAAGAATAGTCACCCCGTAATGCAGTAATGTCATCAGTCATGGATTTTGACCTAAGTAAGGAAAATATTCAGCCCCTTCGAGGTGGAAGAAACGTAACTCAACTAGAAGTAGCATTGCAAGCACAATTTAACGAAGATTACCAAAGAGAAATTCTCCAACAAAAAGAGTAATTATAACTTATTCCTCGATGAGGTTATTCATGTAGAAAATTTTTCTGCAAGCTGTGCTTATTTATTAATTTAAAAGTTGATAATGTGTATTTGTATTAATTCTTGGAGATTCATGAATACAGGCAAGTGTTTTTATAGGGCTTTCGAAAATGCAATTAGACATTATGAAGGGGAAGATCCCTTGGATAATTGGTATCACTATATTTCATGGGTAGAGCAAAGTTTTCCAAAACATGGTCACGAAGGAAATTTGGTTGCTTTATTAGAAGACTGCTTGAGCAAATTTGAACATGATAAGCGATACATTCATGATCGTCGTTTTTGCAAATTATGGATAAAATATGTAAGTTTATAAAATCTTTTTCTATAACAGTATAATTAATTCTTACCTTGAATATTTTACTGACAAAGGGCTTTTCTTTTATGCAAAAGTGCTTTGACATTTACGCCATTAAAGTAAAAATGTTATGTCATTTAAAACCAGTTATTAAAAATATTATTTGACTCGAGCAATTACAAATTATTATAAAACTGAAAATATGAGATTAATATAATCCAGTGTTTATTAATGAAGATTTGGACAGTTGTTGTTTATTTTTTACTATGTATTTGTATTTTACAATTATGAAGCTCGATTCTATTGTAGATGAAGTCTACATATATGCAATTAAACAATTACCCTTGCATTATTAATTGAACCTACATTAGTAATTTCAGGAGTTGATCATTTACTTATATTTACAGTATTGTATAGCTTTATTAAATCTATGAACTGAACACTTTAAACGAAAGTTAAAAAAAAAATATTGTAATAAAATACACTTATTTGTAATTTCAAATAATTATCAATTTATTTATTCTTCATATCAATCTACCGAAAGACAAACATATACAAAATTTATATCTATCCTGTAGATCCACCAGAGGTACCAATACCTGTATGTGTTGTAGACAAACTAAAAAATTGTACCTGAAATGTTAATTTTTTTTTAGATTGATATGCAGCCAAATCCGTTAGAGCTATTCCACATGATGCATGCTCAAGGTTTATGTAGAAGCTGCGCCGATTTATACAGGGCCTGGGCATACTACCACGAAGTTGCTGGGGACTTCAAAAGTGCTGACATGGTTTTCCAACTTGGTGAACAAGAACTTGCCCAACCATATGAAGAATTAGTTACAGCCCATCGTAATTTAGTCTATGCAGTTGGACAGCAAGTAAGAAAAATCAAATTTAAACATTTTTCTGGTAATAATTAAACGTTTAAAATAGATGATAAGGGGAGCAGAAGTAGATGCTCAAAGGTTAGAAGAACAGAGAAGAGCTCTAACCACATTAAGTACTTATGGACATGGTAAAATGGTCCCTAGTGTGCGCATACCTATTTCTGCTGGTGCTGGTGTGTTACCTAGTGGTGCAAAAGCTAATCTAAAGGAAAACGTAGTGGTACCTGTGTATCAAGATAGGGACAATAGTAAATTACTTGGGGCCGAAGCTGTACCCCCTGTAAGCATTTTATCAGCTGCAAAACGTCAGCAGGCTCCTAAAGAGAACACAATAAAACCTGGAGTTTGGACTACAGCTTTACCTATTAAAAAAGGTCCAATGGCTCATCGAAACCCAGCATTTACAGGTAAATAAGTGCAGTAAAACATGTATTGATAAATTTTTGTTGCTACTGTTATTGTTTAGTTCATGAAGACATTATTGATCTCCATTCAATTGGTATAAAGCTGCCAGATGAATTTTATCCAGTAAGTCACGAAGACTTTTCTAACTGGAATCCTCCATTGGCCTATTTTGAGCCTGAAGATCCAAGCAGAATTCCAATGTATCCCAAAAGTAAAGTATACGCAAATCCAAAAGGTGAAGTTAGCATTGAAGAAGTTCGAGCCACTAAATACAAAGTGAAAGGCAACTGTAATAGACTAAACATTTCTCACTCTGAAACAAATGAAGCCATTCAATCGATCTTGGGAGATGGTGTTATCAATCAGAAAGTTCCATTTCAAGAACATCAACAGCAGCAACAGCATATTGGATATGGACAGGTAGTTTTTGATTTGTTTTCTTTAATTCTACAAAATGATGCAAATTTTAATTTTCGTTCTATGATAGTATGTATGAAAATGAAAGTCGAAAAGTTATTCCTTCTCTTTTTTATAATGAGAATGAGATGTTAATGTTTTT